TTGATTTTTCTTGTAAGTTCGTTACTGAAATCAGTTCTCTTAATACTTATTCAAGAACAAATAAAACTGTTTCCATCCTTTGAATTCTTTGGGATACCACTATATTGTTAAACGGTGTGTGAAATGTACCGTGCATATTCATGTGAGAGTATCAATCATCACAAATTTATGTCATGCATTCTGCAAGGGAAATCCTAACCTTTTCTTTTCATGGCCACTGGGAACCAATTGTGACCAATTCTACTGGTTATATTTCTGTTTTACCACAGGAGAATGGATCTGCATCTATCATGTTCAGGAGCTGTTCAAACCATGATGAACTTCCGTTAACGTGGCACTGCATGGACCTTTGGCCCGAGGTCACCATGAGGGAACATGCCCAACTCCCCCTGAGGACAGCTTCCCAGAAAGGAGTGTGACCCTTTGCAGCTGGCAACCGCCTGGGCAACACGCCAGAGCACGAACACAGCTGTAACGGTGTGCTCAGGACTTGTGAACAGGGATTGCCAGGTTTGAACAAAATAAGGTGATTTCAATGAATAAATTCTCAACTTTTTATGTTTCAGTACAAGTTTCAGGTTAAAACTTCAAAGAAAATAAAAGAATAAAAGTGGTGTTCTTTTGGATGCTGGTTTTTTTGGGTTTTGTGGGTTTTTTTTTGTTTAGTTTTGATTTTTTTCTTTAATTGGACTAAACATTGCCCTTGCTCCTCCTTTCTGACAAAGGGAGGAAAAGAAAATAAATTCCAAGTCAAAGACTGCTTTTCCTTTTCCTCAAGCTGTTCTATTTCATAGCTTTTCAGTCTATTTTCTTTATTGCCTGGCTTTGCACTCACCAGCAAAGTTAGTACTTACACATCACAGTATATAATAAGACTAAGAGAAAAGCACTGCAGAATTTGGTCCCACTATTACTGTGTTCCATTAATTTTACAATGAAGTCTTGGCTACTAACATAAAACCCTAAATTATGAAAACACTTCTGGCTTTGTATTTCTGACATTTAGTTGAATAGAGTTACCAGGTACATGTTACCTTGAAATTGATTTTTAATGATAATATTTTATAATTAACAATAAAAAACCACACTCTGTACCCAACTTCTTTTGTAGACTATTTTAATAAAGGGATTATAAAATACAAAAGAGAGAGAGACAGGTAACCTGAGATGCAATTTTGGAATGCAAACTTTTAGTTCAAATGTGCAAGCTCAAACTTAACAAATGTTTAAAATATTTGAGTTTGTCAAATGGTGCCAAAATAAACCATGTCTTTTCTAAAGACTACATATTTAGCTAGGCACTGGCAATGTAAATCTTTCAACCATTTCAAGTATTTGTTTAAAAGCCTCCCAGAACACGTGGGTTCCCAACAAAACTGAAGAATGAAATGTTTAGAACACTGAACCTCAACAGCTGACTTATAATCGAGCTAATATGAGAACACTACTTTGTCTTTTTGAACTTGTGAATACATTTTATTTACCAATGCATGAGAAGAACAAACAGAGAAAGTCCAGTTCTGCAGATCTGATGTGAAATGTTGCAGCGATAAGAGTCAGCCCATGTAACACTGCGATCACAGCAAGAGAAACTGCCCAGCAGTGATTTTCATGTGCCTCACAGCTGATTCTTGCATGAGAGGAAAATCTTCAGCAGTAGAAGTTAACAGGAAGAAAATCAACAGCCTTATTCTAATTAAAAGAAATAAAGGCACAGAGAAATCCTGACATTTAGATAGTAAGTTCATTTGTGTACATGGATTAAAGATGTTACAACACCTGGTAAGACTATATATAAAGTCAATCTTGTAAAATGTTCCTGATTTGGAATAAACAAATAAATAAATGCGTATATGACAACATACTGACATCACCAAACATCATTTCAATATGATAGCTTATTTATAAAAGGTTTTAATATTCCTTAACATTAATGATTAACTAATGAATTTTACTTTGCCATGAATGTATTTAAAGAGGAACCAAACAAATTCAGCTACAGGACTCCACTAACAAGAATGAGCTGGATTTAAACTTTTCAGTATCAGCAGTTTTCCCAACACTAGTACAGAAAGCCATGCCACCAGTTTTCAGCTGTGGGCTGCATGAAAAATAGTACTAAAAGACTAAAGGTCCACAGTTCTTTTCTGTTAAAGTTGATTTGTCACAATATTGTTAATTAGTGAGGGCTTAGGGAAGGCTTACTAGGAATATAATTACAGTGCTGAAAAGCATTAATAATGCTCTTATCCCGAGCGAACATGATGCTATTTACATATTTTACCCTGGCATATACCAGAAATGGCTCCCAATGCATAACGTGCTGCTGGATCACCAAGAGAAAGACACAAAATCTCACAAGGGAAGAACATTTCTGAGTACCTCTTCTATTCAAGACAAGTAGGGACCCTAATTTGACCAGTAATTACAGCTGTCACTGTAAGAGTCACCTGTGGTGAGCCACCTTTCATCATGAACTGTTTTTCCGTCAGGAGGGAAATGAATTGCTACTCCTGGTACATAATCGGACGCAATCTCATCTTTCTCACATATATTAGGACAGAAGTGACAATTGCATTTGTCTGCTGTATGGGAGCAGGCTTCTTTTCACTTTCAGAGCTCTGCTCAGGCACCAATCAGTTCTCAATGAATAAACCATATGATAAGCCCATTAACCCATGTTGTCGTTATCGCCTCTTTCTACTGACCAGAGCAGATTTCCTGCCCTCATTACACTGAAAGGCTAAAGTAAGGCTGGGTTCAACAGGACCAGAAGTTCTGCTGAGGGCACTAAAAGCTGGGCCTCCACCACCAGACCTATGTGATTTATGCTGCTCACTTCAGCAGGTGAAGAAGTGAAAGTGTTTTGGCATTAACCACATAGATACTTTTGCAAACACCCTGGAGGAGCCCGGGAACCTCTTCAGGGACTGCATACCTTTAACGACAGTCACTAAGGAATTTGCCAAAGACCACACACCAGGTTGTTAGCAAGGAAGAGGGAGAACTCAACTGTTTTTGAATCTTTCTACTCTCAACATAGAAAATTTCCCATGATCCTTCCTGAAGAATAAAAACATTTCCAGCTGAATTTTAAAAATCAACACATCCGATTTAATTACAAAGAAAATACATTTATCCACATTTGTCATTTATGACAAAACACCCTAACCAAAATTATCACTGAATTCCAGGCTGCTTGGTGCAAGACAAAAGACAGAGTCAGTAACTATTTTTTCACCTTGGGTATAACGTGTCAATAGGAAAATTATGGAGCAAAACTATAAGTTAATTTTACCAAATCAAGTATTACCTGCAATCAGATGTATCTGACATCAAGCCTGCTAGGTGGCTTTTGCATGGCCCATCCTACTTTTCCAAACAAAGCCAATGGACACAAGAGGCTGGAGGTCAAACAGTCTGGCTGTAGGAAGCCTGCATTCACAAGATTATTCACTTGGACACAGAAATATTTGGGGAAAGGTGAGGAGCTCTTCACACTCCAAGGGAAAGGAGGAACTTAGCACATTCATGCATGGAACACAAGCTCTGATTTAGTAAACTTGCATTTTCAAAGTAGCAAACAGCTTTCTCATAAAAGCTACCTAGCAATAACTAATACTTTTACACTGAAAAATAGGTACTTCAAAGTTAAATTGAAACAATGTGTAAGAATAAATGTTTCATTCTCACAGTGAAGGAAAATCTACCTTATTGTCCTACAGGGATCTTTGTCCCAGAGGTCATGTTTAACTTAACTAAGAAATCACTTGAAGAGGGGGTTAATTTGGAGATGGCAGTATTTCGTATCACCGTATTCAGCATGGAGATGCTGATGATACTCTGATACTGTGAGTATTAGACAGGAGCTGTGAGAAGAGATGGAATAAGAGGTCAGGGTCACCAGGGAATGCTAAAACAACAGGTGACATTCAGTACCCATAAATGCTGTGTTATTCAGAAAACAGTTCTGTCTTCATACAGGCCACAATGAACTCTGAGCTGAACATTACAACTGAGGAAGGAGATCTAGAGTAGTCATTTTACTACAGAAATATGAATATCAATAAATAAGCTGTCATAAAGCAAGTCCAATGCTAAAAATGGTTACAAATAGCACAGAGAAAAAAACAGACAACATCATTATGACAACCATTAAAGTCACATTTTGTCTATATCTTGAACACTAGGCACAAACTGTGTTGCATCTCAGTAAAAACACTGCAGAGCAGGGAAAAAAAACAGATTAGTATGACAAGGCCAATTAAAAACATGGGGCAGAGCCTTTAAATGAGACTAGGGGTTCTCTCTGGAAAAGAAAAGTTGGGGAAATGATGCCAAAGTTGTAAAATCACATGGGACGTGGAAATATGAACAGGGAATGGTTCCTTACCATTTCTCTCATACAAAAACTAGGTGATAGCAAATGAATAGAGCTGGTTCATAAGAGAAAAGGAAGTATTTTTTCACTCAATGCATCATTAACTGCATAAGACCTTGTGAAAGGAACAAGTAGGTAAAAACAATTTTAATGGATTAAAAAAACAGGCCATGAAAAAATGTTGCTAAATAAAAGACACCACCTCTGGCTTAGAAAGCCTCTAACTACAAATTGCTGGGACACCAGTTGGGAGAGTGGTCACTAGTGGCCTGACTTTATACCCTTTCCTAAGCATCTTCTGTTTGTTATTGCCAAAGGCAGTCTGGGCTTTGGTCTAGCACAGCATGGTAGTCCTTACATTTTTGTCTTTATTTCTTCCTCACTACCTCCTTACAGCAGAAATGGCTCAATAGCACTGACAGCTCAGGAGATCTTGTCACCCACTTTGTGCACAAAGCTCAGTGAGGACAGTAGGACAAAGAGCTGTTGAGTCACCCAAAGAGCTGAACAGCAGCACACGGGAGATGGTGAAGGGGCTGGAATCTGGGGGGTGGCAATCCTCTGGTTTGGAAGCATTAAAATTTCTTCCCACTGAATAGGTGTGGGGGAGAGGCTCCAGACTCACTGGCTATCTTAGGATTGACCAAAGGTCAAAAAGGAGCACTTCAGAAGTTTCTAGAACTGACTTGGGTAAATGTGGCTTGGATGGATGCTACTTATCTCCCTGCAAGAGGTTAGGTTTGGTCAACTGAAACTAGGAGGGGCTTAGGTCTGCAGATGAAGAAGTGTTTGAAAGAAAAAACAGACATTAAAATGTCTCTCTCTACACCTAAAACTAAAATTTCATTTTCTCCAGATAGACTGCACTATCACAGTGCCTGAACAAGCAAACATTAAGAAGCAAGACCATGTAACAACATTAAACACAAAGTAAAGCAGACAAGTGGAAGCCTCAGGAGCTACATCCACCTTGCCTGAGTAGGCTGGTCCTGAGGAGACACTAAAGCCCAGCTGGCTGCTGAGATTCTTTATTGAATTTGGGGTTCTCAGAGATTACAGCTGCTTTCTTGAGCAGGATTATATGAGTACTGGCCTGACTGTTCATACAGGGAGATGGTTGGGTCACAAACACAACTCTAAGTTCAACTGTACTGTATCTTAGAGTCTATCATGTCTGTGTACCCCAAATTCCTCCTCAGCCCTCAGTTTCTCCCCTCCCTGTCAGATTCTATGCTTCGGCCTCTTAAGTCCTAGGGCACTTCATGAGTACAAAAAGCTGAGGATTGACAGTTTAGCCTCAAACCCAGCCTGGATGGTACTCCTGCACTGCAGGGCACTCAGAGTCTTGTAGGAATGGGATGAGAAGAGGCAAACACTGAAAAGGTGAATTTTTAATTTATAAGGTACTTTCTGAAATCTGAGAGCTTTTTCCTCATTTAAAAGGACAGAGGAGTGACTAAAAACAATACATGAAACTTTCTCCACTGTCTGAGATACTGTACAGTGTCACAAGGCTTTCATGTTACAAATTTTTGTAGCTGTACTTCCAGTGAAACCTAAATGTAAATTTCTTTTTAATGTACACTGAAAATGCCATGTACTAGCAGAAGCTATTCAACTGTTGTATAAAGGTGTACATTTATCCTGCCCTTTGATGTAGCCACAGTTACTACCTGCAATTCAATGGTCTATGAGTAAGGAGGAAAAAATATCCAATATACCAGAGCTATTTCTTGAATGCCAACCTACTTTATCAATTAATATATTTAACATACAAATATTGGACTATTTGCAGCCTCACAAATATAATAAGGGACTTAAATCCTGAAACTGCTTTGCAGCATTTTGAACCTGAAGCTTGCAGTATTTAAAAAAATGACCATGCTGTGCCTTGCAGCAGACTATAGTCTAACATGGAGAGGACAGACTGTTAAAATAAGCATCTACATAATTTTTCACAATACACTGTGCCACAATGCATTTGGTTAAAAACAAACACGTTTGCAGTGAAACATTTTAACAAATCACAGAACTCAGCAGCAAAGTAGTTAAACATTTATGATTTGATTTTATCTCAGCTTGGAATGTCGCTGGAGTGTCCCACTTCTAACAACTGTTTGCTAAGTTAAGGCTTCAGTGTTTACACAGTGCTGAATGAAGCAGCCTGGTCACCAGATGTGAAAGCTTCCTTAGACTACAGCTTTCAATCAGATCACGGTCCTAATGGTCCCTGCTCCAACCTTCTTCCTCAGGACGTCCACCAGCCTTTCCAACCTGAGAGGGGGCAGGGGAGAGGGAGAGGAGAGAGAAAAAAAGGAAGCTAATGTTAGGAATGTTCTGGCTGAAAGAGACAGTGTTTGCACTGAACCAAGCTGTCCTGGTGGTGGTCACGCTCAGAAACAAAGCACTACTGTAAAAGACAGACATTAAGGGAAAATGCAGACAACTTGCGAAAAACTTTTTAACCTACAACCCAACCCATCTGCAGTCAGTGACATATATCAACTTACTTTTCCTTTGTAGTGCATGGAGTATCTGAGGTCCCCGCGTGGCATTAACACAAAACTCTGTGCAGCAATCCTGTGGCACAATGTACACTTTGGTGTAAGTAAGATAATTAATTTTTACACTTTTAAAAATATGGGCTGTCCATGGGTCTTGTTAAATGTAGCACTTAACGATTGTTTCCCCTTAAATAATATCTTGCCCATTATCCAACAGATACTTTTACTGTCCAGTATATAAATTTATGTCTAAAAGCTGATGTGTTTTATGTAAAAACTTTTTCAAAATACTCAACAAGCCAAGTTTCTGAGGATGTAGATGATGATATTTTGAAGGTGGCCTGCATGATTCTTGTGTCAATACAACCACAGAAAAATTAACAGTCTAAGTAAGTAGGACAGAGAGTTTCCCAATCCTCTTAGCTTTAAGGCACAGGCACTATAAACACGCTCAGTCTCACTTGCTTAATTTGATATTTATTTTGTTAAAGTATGTAGACAAATGCAAAGGACTAAATTTGCTCATCATTTTGTATCTATACACATTTATCTTCAGCATTCCAGAAATCATGTATTCAAGCTATTTCTTCAATTTATCTGTATTTTATGGTATCCTTCAATGAAAACTCTCCCACAAATAAACTATCTGTATAAAAGCAGACATTGTGTGTAGCAGAACACTTTCAGAGCCATGTCCAGAATATTATACACACAGCTTCCACAATGGATAAACAGAGCTGCAGGTTCAAATAGCTGTATTCATTGTTACAAAGTTGACCATTTTTTTCTTATCTTGAAAGACAATTAAAAAAAAAACTATATAACATGAGAAATGCAGATAGGAAATAAAAATAACACAGCTTTATCAAAATTGCAAAATGCATTTTATCTCATGAATGCATTAGTAACTTCAGTGCACGTAAACTAGTCAACATGGATCTATTGCCACAAGTCATGACTAATGTGCTTGGTACGTATTGAAACACTCTTGTTTTCCAGGAACCACCAAGCACGATGAAGCTACACCTTTCATTGTACTCACCAGGTGACTTAATTCCTGAAATGAGATTAAGAATTCACCACCCAAATGTAATCATCAGACAGCAGGAAAAGTATGTGGAAAGTTCAGCTTGTTCTAGCTGTCGCACAGGGACTCTGACGGAACGAATGCACGGGTAAAAAACTGCTGCTTAGGTAGCAACTGCTAAAAAACTGCTCCTCTCCCTTCAGTTTTCCAATAGTCACTTTTCCTTCTTAACCAACTAGTGCATTTCCCCCTGGTTTTGTAAAATAACATCTACTGCACTTTGTCTCTATAGAGGCAGCACCCAAACAGCCATAACTCAATGCTGTCAGTCCATACAAGTGTAAAGTCAGGGATTTCACAAATTACTTGCTCCTGTAAGTTTTCTCACAGGGATACATCAATGTTTTCTGAGTTCTAAGGATTTTAACTCAGTTACTGTTCAGTCAGTTTTGTCAGCCTCTCTTATTGAGAAGTTTCCCTGTTACAACTGCTGTCAGTCCATGCTCAATTTCAGAAATCAATGGCAATTAGTCCCCTTTCACTAGCTTGTGTATTTCAGAAGCACAGCAGCTTTCTCAGCCATCTTAACTCTTGCTGGAGGCCTCTTTCACACTAGCACCCTCTCTAATGTACTTCAGAGACATAAAAGCACTGGAGAAACATTTCAAACTGTTTGGACAAACAGAAGGTTTGGGCTGAAAATTGTTTTTCTGGGAGACAGCATAAAACCTGTAAAATCTGAGATCATGGCTTATTTAAATCACTGTTCAGTTAAAAAGAAATATTGTGTGGCTTATACAAGGCGGGGGGTGGCGGGGGGGAATGACTTCAGTAATTGAGGCTCCTTTTGGGGAAACACAAGTTGGATGTCACAGCTTACACACTGTCCTACAACTGGGTTTAGATGTGCACCACTCTGTGACCAAGCAATGGCACTGCACACCACAGCAGAACAAGTCAGTGAAAAGCTGCCCATGTTTGAAGAGAAATACCACTGGGATGAAAGTAGCTGTCTTCTGTTTAACCTTGAAACTGTCAGGCTTCATTGAAAATAATGAGGCTTAACAATCATACTTTCTGCTTTCCAAACGAATGATGACTGAAATCATCAAAATGAGATATTCCTCACCAAATACACACCATGCAGAGCTTATTTGCCTTTTGTTTCAGTCATATGTGGATTTTCAAATTTATTTATTCTTTATCAGAAGGAAAAAAAAAAGGTAGCAGTGGATTAAGATATTGTACTTTTGAAAGAGATTTAAGCAACAACGTAAAAGAGAAATGGTAGTAGCTATTTATAAAATAAAATAACAGAGGGCAAAATTTACCCCTACACAGACACAAGACCCAATATACCACTGAAATCCCACTTAAGCCTACAAAATAATGCTATGTGCTGAATCAGTGGTTAATAACTCTTGATACAGGCCTCAGGGGGCTTTTTGGAATGATAATCCTGGACTCTTTGTTCATCAAGGGCCCAACTCTGTCATCCCAACTCACACTAAGCAACATTTTCTTTGTGAGTAATAAAAGGCAGCTAAAAAGGCTGTTCGTGCCAGTGAGGTGCTACCTGTGAGGGGTGAGGGTGGCAGAGCCAGCCCTTGCTGAGAAGGCTTTGCGCCCAGCCCAGTGGGATCCAGCAGGCAGCTCCCTCTGGAGACTGAGCACTTGAACGTGGAAAACTGCAGTAATAGTTTTGTACCTCAAGATCAGAGGTAACTTAAACAGAAGAATGAAAGGTACTGGGAACTAGTCTCAATGTTTGTAGGGTTTTATTCAAAATATGGAAGACATGAAGAAAGCAACTTCTGTTACTTTGTGTAATTTCACCAAATTTCACTTAACTGAAAGCAGCACTGACTACATTTGATTGTATTCTAAGAAAAATTCTAACAAATTCTAACATTCTAACAAATGACATTTGTCTTTTTGCTTGTGAAGGGTCCTCATAGGGTAAGTAAAATGTGCAACATGACACTTTCTCCTGAGATGTAAGCAAGGACACTCACTGAATTTGCATCTCATGAAGCAACTAAATAAGTAATCTAAGATGAAAGTATTTGAGTCCATATTTTAGATCAGATGGAAGAATGATATGGTGGGTGGGCCATTCTGTGGTAGCGCTGAAGGTCCAAATGTGCAAGGACAGACACACACCTTTTGGAATGCTTTACAAAGCCTCTTAAGGGCTCACTCCCCATTCTCACAGATTTCAATTTCTTCCTTAGAAATATTTGAAAATTTCAGTAGATGACCTCCATTATTCCTTGGTTCTTCAAATCATTCTAGAAAATCTGTCCCTTAACAAATAAATTCTCTCAACAAATGCCACATCAGCATTTTTTATACAATTATTGTATGCATGCATACAAAGTGAGTACAAAAGGACATATAAAATACACGAAAAAACTGTGGACTCAAATGGATAGGTACAACTTTGGTTTTATTTCTATTGATTTACATATATCCAAAAGTAAAAAGCAAAAATGTCCAGTGCTTTTCAAGATAAATGGAATTTGCTTTGATGAAAAGCACAAAGATGACGGCTAGAAATATTTTTTATATATACTACATACTTCTGTAATGCTCCCATGAAATGGAAAAAATAAATAAAACACACAATTTAGGAAAGGGACACCCAGTCCATCATTATTTTTAAGTTAGCAAAAGACACAATGTTAGAAGTCTTGAATTGCAGTGGCTTAATGATTTCTCCATACAAATTTGGAATTAAGCAGTTGAATCTGTGTTCTATACAGAAATAAAAAGAATTCCATAAGGGGCTTGCTGCTACGATGTCACAGGTTTAATTATGTCCTTTTGAACATGTTGCTAAGCTTTAAGAAGATCCTCATCTTTAGAGGAAAGAACAGGAACACCTGAACAGGATCATTACTAGGTGAGTCTTCCCCAAGACAAATTCTCAACCACTCTCAAATTTTCTTCCAGGTATTTCAAACTGCGTTTCCTTGTCACCTGTGCACACAGCCATCAATGCCTGCATGGAGAGCATGTTGTTATGTGGAGTGCTCTTACACAGATCCTGAATTGCTTGACAATCTGCTCTGACTTTTAGCAAAGCTCTACTCCTGTGAGTAAAAACAAATTTGTTTTAGACTTGGCCTCCATAAAGCAGACTTAAAATCCTAACTGACAGAGAAGTTTGCTCTGGGTGCCCAGAAGCTGAACAGACTGGTGCAAGTATGTTACCTACTACTCTCTACTGCTCACTCTTATGCACATTTTTGGCTTGCTTCCCTATTTCACATATTCTGCTAGAAGAAGTCTACCTCTAATCTGTAGCTTGGGATCAGTAAAAACTCGCAACTGTGTAAATCCACATGGGTTGGTACATCCTTTCACACTGCTCCACCTCTGGCCAAAGGAACTCACCCCAAAGACAACAGTGGTCTTTACTCCCAAGTTCTGAATATGACAGTTATACAGCCATGGAGTGACCTTCCTGGGAATCATGCTCCAGAAATAGATAAAATGGACACCAAACTGACAGAAAAGGGTACCCTTCAAGTAGCCCATGTCCTAATCTGCAAAGCAGTATACAGACTAGCCAAAAACAATGGTTTCTACCTGCAAATGGAGGACTTAAGTGATAAAAACAAAATCTTCCTGGATTTTGAAATGCTATATAAAGGCTTATAAACCTTAGCTATTACCCTTGGTTATCTTTCCAGTAGATAAGATTAGGCTCAGGCTATGAAGATGGCCTTACTTGCATG